AACCCACTTAGAGCAGGCAGGTTTTGGGGCTTCAGGGGTGCCTCTCTCTGAATTGAGGTGCCCTATAACAATATGAAGCCCTTTCCGTGACCATTTTAAATTGCAGCGAAATCTGTACCGACGTCATTTTAACCATCCGCAAGCGCACGGTTCAGTGGCGTTGAGGACACGAGGCTGTGCGACCATCACCGCCATCTATTTCCAAAATGTCTTTGTCTCCCAAAACGAGCTCTGTCTGTGCCTTTAAACAGTAACTCCCCACTGCCTTTCCCTCTGGCCCCTGGTTATCCACAGTTTATTTTCTGATTGTCGGTTTCTGTGAATTTGCCTGTTGCAGGCACTTCATGGAAGCAGAATCATGTCTGTCCCTTGTCTGGCTTATTTCACTTAGCATTTACTTAGCATCATTTATTTTATTTATGCATAAATAAAAAGGGGTATAGGCCAGAGGTTGGGGGGGGGTGTTGAGAGGATTCCCCAGAGACAGAGTGGGAGCAGAACAGGCAGGGACTGATACACTGCTGAGGGGAGAAGCTAGGAGACAGTGTAACAGGGGGTCCCCAGGAAAAGGGGAGGTTAAAGGTTCCTTGCCCCACCCAGAAGGAGGGTGGAGCTGATAAGAGCAGAGAAGAATCAGGAGAGGAGACTGAAGAGGGTGGAGGATGGAGGATGGAGCCCGACGGAGACCTGAGGGAGACCCATGGAGCAGAGAGACGTGTGCAGAAGCGGCTCTTGTTTCTGGTCCTGGACTGGGGGACACAGACGTGGTGGGTGAGACCCGTGGAGAGGTGACTGTGGCAGTGTTTATCTTGATTTGATTTTGCTCTCTTCCTCCCAGACTTGTCTAGCCATTTCTGTTTTTTTCTATGGGTCCCTGCCAGAAGGAGCTTTCGCTGTGGCAGCTTTCATGACTTGCTTTGGGCCAGTCCCGCCTGGGTGGACTTTTACCCGCCAGGGGATGGGCCACTTTGGGTATTTGATTTAGAAACTATATTCTTTGTCTTTTCTGTATTGCACACTCATTGTATTAAAGTTCCTCTCCATTAAAAGTCTTATATGGGCCCTCCCTGGTGGCACAGCAGGTTAAAGCACTGCACTAAGAAGCTAAAGCCACTTCTGCATGAGTTCGATCCCTGCCTGCCCCGGAGGTGACCCCATGGCGCGGCAGACCTCTCCTGACCCGCCCGCTGCTCCCCTCAGCAGTGTACTTCGTCGATCTGCCTGTTCTGCTCCCCACTCTGCCTCTGGTGAATCCTCTCACCATCCCCTGCACCTCTGGCCTGTTCCCCAGTTCTGTATGCATAAGTAAATAAATCTTTAAAAAAATGAGAAATAAAAGGAGAGAATATGATTTGTTCATTTACTTCACCAGGTGATATGGCTCTGTGCCCAAGGGGTAATTCTTTCCACTGGCTCAGATGGGGTGACTATAGGATGATCCTTTGGGGTGACCGTAGGATGTTCCAGGGTAACACTTGTTTTTTGCTTTGCATTCGAGAATTTGATCTTTTCAGTTGTTTTTCTTTTTAAATTTGCTGAATTAACATTACATGATAACATTAGGTAAGTTTCAGGTATGCATTATTGAAACTATATATTCTACAATAAGCTTACCAGTAAAGGCCCCATTCTGTCTCTTACTGTACAGCTGACCTCTCTCATCCACTCTACGCTCTCCTTTTTTCCTTTCCTTTTGCTAACACTCACTGGACTGACAGTCTAACAGTTCACTTTTGTTGTATTTAGCTCATCTATTTTTTGTTTCTTTACATACTACATATGAACGAAGTGTTTCTTTCTTGTCTGACATTTCACGAAACATAATCAATACCCTGTAGGTCCATCCATGATGTTGCAAATGGCAGGACTTGCAATTTTTTTGTGCAGCTGAGCATCTTCCACTATGACTGATATATACCACATACCACATCGTAATCCATTCACTGTTTATGGACCCGAGTCTGTTTGCAGTTCTTGACTACCATGAATAACACTACAGTAAACATGGAAAATTAGGTCTTTTAAATCATTTTTCAAGTTCTTGATCATCATGAATAATGCTACAGTAAAAATGGGAAAATAATGTCTTTTAAATTATTTTTCAGGTAAATACCTAGAGATGGATAGCTGGTATTTCTATATTTTTAATTTTGGTGGTACCCCATTCTGCTTTCCTTGGTGGAATGCACCAATTTACATTCCCAACAGTATTGTCTTCAACATTTGTTCCTTTGCTCTTGGATACCAGAATAAGATTGGGTGTCTTTTGCCATTTTCACAGGTGTGAGGGGATAGCTCATTATCGCTCGATTTGCATGTTTCTAGTCAGAAGAGACGAAGAGCCTCTTTCTGTGAGTCTGTTGGCATGTGCCTGTCTTCTGTGGAGAAGTGTCTGTTCAGATCCTCTGTGGGGCCACTTGTACTCCATTCTTACTTCACTGGAGCTGGAAGCCAGAAAAACCAATAAGAAAACAATTAGTGTTGCAAAGACCAGAGCTGTTAGGTGTGCTGATTGGGGTTTCACAATCATGCTTTTCCACCCCCAGCCCTGACTTTTCTGTGTAATTTGAAGATACTATGACGTCCATATCTTTTTTGAAAACAAACATATAAGGTTATCGCTGTCTCATTTATTTTCAAGCGTTACTCCTAGCCTCACACATTGTAAAGCTTGAAGTAACAAATGTAAAAGCACCTTATAGGAAATCAAACTGCATGATGACTGATGAACTTAGAAGCCCTCAGGTATGGCTGGAGAGGTGGGAAATGAGCACATGCTATGTGTGACAGTGACAGAGAAGCCACGTGACAATTACCTGTTTTCTTTTTCTTGGTGGGTTTGGTAGCAACTTTTTCTGGAAGAGAAACAAGGTTAATGCTGTGATGGTCTTTGTTTCACTTGATGACCTTGCTCTTTCCAGATGCCTCTCAGATATGTCCTTTTGCCAACACAAATGGAAGGTTCATGGAAAAGAATCCTCCCTCTGAATCTGGAACATTCTGCTCTGCTATTCTGTCCCAGTTTACAGTCACCTACAAGCCTGCAGCCTCTCTCTTCCTCTCCTGATAGTCGCACCAGGTTTCCCTTCACAACCTGTTGAGACCTGCTCCTTCTTAGAGCTAGTCTGTGCACTTTCAAGACAGGAAGCACATGCGGTGACTTTGGGGAGCCCTCAGGGAGTGTGCCCCTGAGCACTGGGTAGCAGTGGGACACCAGAGGAGAGCACTAAAGGTCCCTGCAACTTGCTTCAGACGCCACCCTCAATCCATCTCAGCGACTGTAGTGACACTTCTCACACTCTTGTAAAGCACTTGCACCTCTAAAATACTCTTGCAACTATGGCCACTTTGCCCCAAACTCAAACCCTGAACTTCGCCCTCCCCACTCCAATGCCAAAGATGGGTGTGGACGCCTTCCCTGGCCCTCGAGGGCTCTGCCGTCCTCTTCGCCAGGTGTGGAGCCTGTTCCAACTCCCCGACCAGCCCTGGGCAGCATGCCCACGTCCCTTCTCAGCAGAAGGTCTCTTCCCAGAGGCAGCACTGTCCTCTGTAAACCTCCGTGAGACTGAGCTGCTCCCGGAACCTGTCCTCCGTGTCAGCATCAGAACTGACCTCCCTCCTTTCCTGCCACTATTTCTGTTTTCGGACATGTGCGCTCCATAGCCCCGTGGCTATGGATGGGACCCTTCCTCCCGGTGAGGCACTCGGGCTCGCCCCTACAGGTGAACCTCAACCTGCCTGCTCTCGAAATGTCACCACAGATGACTGCGGAGCAAAACTCTTTTCTTTACCATCAGAGTGACACAGAGAAGGGCCTCCTGGAGCATTCTGGAAAGAGATGGAAAGAAGGGGTTCATCTGTGACAGAGACTGGGTCCCTGTCTTGTCTCCACCTGGGGGCTGATATAGGACTTACGACTTTTAAAAATGCAATTTATGGACATTTCCTCTTGAGTGTACTTCAGCTGATTATCAAGAGAAATAATGTGGAAATATCCCATACTGTAAAATACCAATACTAGTGTATTTTACTCAGCTACAGAATTCTATGTGAAACATTGACCCAAAAGCATAAGACCCTTCCCCTAATTTAAATTATTTTCCTGTGACCTAATTGCACTGTGGTAGGTGTTCATGGCAGAGGCCAGCTCACAACTGCCTGCCCTAGCCTGACACGCATCAGCGTTCCTGAGTGGAGGATAACACTGTACCAGGAGTCAGACCAGCCCGGGCGGATGGGGGGACTGTCGGCACTGAGACCCGAGCCACGGGTGGGGCCGTGATGGTTCTCTGGAGACCGAGCCAGTCTGTGAGGCTTGGACTTGGGGGTTGCTTGGTCTTTGACTTAGCCTCTAGAACACGCACCTGGGACGTGTGACCCCGAGTCCCGGTACCCACCTTGATCAGGTGTCCCAGTGTCCAGTTGAAGCAGCGCACGGTCAGCCGCCAGTTCTTGGATCCTTCCCGTTTTCCTTTAATTTCGAATTCCCTGAGGGTGAGCCAACTGCTTTTGTCCTCCTCACTCTGGACACACTTCACCAACACCCCTGGGAAACCAAGATGAGTGAGCACTCGGGTCCTCCCTGGCCCTAGGAGCTTTGCTCCACTGTGAACACCCCTAAAATTGGCCTCCCTTCGTGTGGATCTGGACCACCTCGTGGGGGTCAGGGGCTCTGAGTCTCTGCTCGAGTCCCCTCTGAATGCAGAGGGCATTCAGGGACCTCGAGTCCTGTGCAGGGGACCTCGAGTCCTGTGCACACACTCCTTTGACCTTTGAGCCATACTCGCCACTAACATTTACATTGACAAGATTTCAGGGGCCTCCCTGGTGGTGCAGGGTTAAAGACATGGCACTATGAAGCTATGGGCAGCCACTGTGAGTGACTCTGATCCCCGCCCAGGGAGTGCCGGCAGGGAGCAGCAGACCTCTCGTGTCTCCCGGCCCTCCCCTCTGCAGTGGATTTCAGTGTGTCCGCCTGTCGCACTCCCCACTGTCTCTGGTGAACATTGGCTCCTTGCCCCACCCCTGTGCCTCTGCACTACACACCCCAGTTTGTTTTCCTTTTAAAGAGCATTTCTCTACACACAGGAGAGAGGAAAAAAAGGGTGGAAGACAGAAGGATGAGGCGTGTCCTTTCCCTTGGCTTCGAAGTCCCGGATGGGAGCAGGCGGTGATCCCCAGCCAGTGGGGGAGGACGACGCGGACTGTGGGGCTGTGGCCACGGCCACGTCTCTCTTGTCCAGTGCTGGTCATCCAACTAATGGCAAGTGATTATTTCTCCTGTTTTGGATTTACAGCTATCTTGTGTGAGCCTAGTTATGTGACTAGTGGGGAAAGCTGAAGCACACGGGGAGTGGGGAACAGTGCCCGGTGCGGTCCCCCAGAAGAAGCTGGGGACACTGGCACCAGGGTCGCCTCGGGTGTTGCCTCTGTGCCTTTCTCCTCCGCTGATCGTGCTTTGTAGCAACCCAGTGTAGTCAGCCACAGCCAGGAGAGCCCACTGTATGCGGGTCAAGTGTGTCTTCCTTGGGGCCACGGTCGGAGACCCTGACACAGGTGTCTACCTCGGAACCCCGGGTGTTTCCCAGTGAAAGGGTGTAGCAGCCATCACCTACCTTGCTCCATTTTGTTCCTATTTAAAATCCCCTTGGCTTCCCCACAGGTCACGGGAATTTCAGGGCCTTGTAATAGTCTTTTGAGTTTTTTGGAAATTCTTGAGCCTGCAAGGAAAATTATCATTACTTTCTGCTCCATCTTTCTCTCCATCTGTACACTTTTCTCTTCAACTATCTTGAGATCTTTTATAATTTAAAATGCAGTGGAGGGATTTTCCCCACGGATTAGTTGCATTTCCAAGTTTTTTATGGCAGATTCAAATCACGATGCTAATGTCATTTCCACTCCCACCCTTTAAAATCCTGCAGAAAAGCCTCATGTGCAGGAGGTGAATGCTGGCGGGTGGGCTGTGACTGCGAGATGCCCAATGATTTCCCTCAGGTGTTTGGAAGGGAGACATCCAGTCACATGATTGTTTTGAAGTTATGAAGACGCAGGAAAAGCCAAAGTTTAGTTTTGTCTCGGAGGCAGCAATTGGATTGCAATGGGGCACCCCGTGGGGTGCTGTCTGTGTGCTCTCCTTGCTCTCTGCTTTGTTTCTTGCTTTCTTTGAGTCTAAAAGGGAACTCAGGGTCAGGTGCTCTGGATGACACTGCTCCTGGCGGCAGCTGGTGGCAGGAATCTAAAAGTCAACTTCAAGAGCAGGGCCACCTGTGCAGGTCCTGGCCAAGATTAAGGGTGACCCATTAAGGGCAGGCACAGGCTGCTCCCTGGGACCGGAGGGGGAGCTGTCCATGGTCCTTGCCGACTCAGTTCGGATACTCCCCTACCCACGCTGTGGACCCGTGGGGCTGCCCTTGCCAACCTCCCTCATGCAAGGGAGGAGGCCGCAAGAAAAAAAAAAAAGAATAAATGGCAAATCAAAGTCATGCACTCAAAGGAAGTTTAGGAGCTAAGACACAGGTCTTGCGTTACCACTCAGTGCCCCCCTGGTTAGGCGACCTGTGCCTCTGTGTGGAAAAGAAAGGCGTCAGGCAAAGAGATGTGAGTCCCAGACCTCAGGCCTCCTCACATGTTGTCAGGGCAGTGAAGGGAGCCCTGCACGTGGCCAGGAACTGGTGTCTCTGACCGTGTGCTGATGCCTGCAGTGGGTGTCACTCACACTGTCCAACCCCCCAAGGTCAGGAATAGTCTCACGTTTGTTTCAGACTCAATAAGTCCACTAAGGGAAGTGACTGACCCTGCAAAACCCAGAGTATAAAATAAAAATTTAAATAATGATTAAAAGTGTATCGGTAAATTGGGCCCTCCCTGGTGGTGCAACAGGTTAAAGCACAGCACTAAGAAGCTTAAGCCAATTCTTCATGAGTTCCAGGCCCATCTGCCCCGGAGGTGACCACATGGCGCGGCAGACCTCTCCTGACCCGCCC